AAAGCAAAGGCTTCGTAGCTTGCCAATCCCAGGCACTCAATATTATTGCACTAATAAAACTTAACAAAGACTTACAGATAAAAAAAGAGAAAAGTTACGTGAGCGATCACATGATTTGCCAAGTTTATGAAAACTTTATATCAAAATGGGAGAAGGAGACATCTCATTATTGCTGGCCAGCCTTGGCCTGTTTTCTGACAGGCCTCAAACTCCACGCTAAACACAAGAGACGTCGAGACAACAAATACTTCGCCACAGAGGCGTTCCTTCTCTGTATTGGAAGCCAGCAGAAGGGGAGGAAAATCAGTTAATGCAATGCGGCCAATTCAGTGTCTCATAAAAGCCCTCACAAAAACACATGTTTGTTTTTATGCTGTGCGTTTAGCCAAAAATGAGTAATACATCCATCATTTTTCCTCGCAAGAGTGACGTGACACTCAGGTCATGCACCCCATGTCTCCAGGCTTTGAAAGAGGCAATAAATCAATCTTGGCGCTATTACTTACAATTAATTGTGCTTTAAAGTTTTACAGTGTGTTTATGATATGCAGGGCCCGGATGTTTTATGTGAAGAGTTTGAGTCACTCCCTCTAATGGCTGTTGTTTTCCTGGTTTACAACCCCCGCATGAGCTCGCAGATTAAGCTGCCAGAATGCTTGAAACCGGGCCTGTTGCACTGATCAAAACACGGGACAGGCAAACCACTCACAGAAAATGAAAAACACACATACCTGAGAGAACAAACATGGGCTCCCTGGAATAATTTGACACAAACCACGCCGTGTATTTTGTCTAATATACAAACTAAACACGTCCAAACAATTATAAACAGCTGTTTTAACACTTAGGATATGTTGTCATTAAAAGACGGAGAACAGCCGTGTCTCAAGTAATGCTATTAAGAGATAACAAGACATTAGCTAAGATGGGAAAGAGAACATCATTTGAAAACAAGCAGAACACAATATGTCAGCAAGTATTTTTTGTCTGTACATAAAGCAGACCGGCATTCAGTATGGTTACAGTTTGCCCACAACGCCTACCCAATCCGCAGTGCTGTCCTTAATCAACCTTTTGTATATAGTACATATTGATTCAGGAATGTGTCATGAAGGAAAAGTAACAAATCAGGTTCTATATGTATAATAGCTGGTGCTAATACAGATCCGAGCAGAAAGCAAAGAGTGGTAATAAACCTGCTTCCACAGCAATCTGTTGGGTTATATTGCCTTCCCCTGTTGAGAACCATATTCTTTGAGTTTTCTCTGAGGACACATTTGTTCAGTAAAATGATTCAGCAAACCCACTGAAGGCACATTCAGAAAGCGCTATATTGCATGCTGTTTGTTATGTTTGAGAGCTTCGGGGAACTCATAACTCTCGAGCACAGATGAACGTGGCAACATACTTTACGGGGTACATTTGAGACTTGAAAAGGAGGCAAAACAACCAACCTATAGCCAAATGCCTTATCTTTTTCCAGTGTTGCTTTTCAAAAACGCCACAATCATGCATCACATAATGCAAAGTCATGGGTCTTAAACCATGCTGTCGATCTTAGATTTGGACTGTTTCCTTCAGTGCAAACTTAAAATGAACTGCCGTCTGCTGCAGAGTAAAACAGGTTAGTGTCTGGGGAAGAAAAAACAGAACTGAAAAGATCCACTTGAGGACTTTCCTGGCTGTGTCACTGTCAATTCTGCTGAAGAACCGTTACCCTGTGTGCAGAGACTCATGGGACCCGGGAGCTGGCTCGAGCCACCCTGCAATGCAGTCTGCTTTACATTATACGCAGAAGGATGTGGGGAAAAACTTGTGTTCATGCTAGAAAATCAAGTCAAATACTCCATCCAGACAAAATCTAAGTGACATCCGAGGAACATTTATACCCGCTGACGTAGCTACCAAGCCGTGCCTAGTAAGGGGGAACCAAGGACCTACTTCATTCACTGTGAAACACTCTTAAACATGTGGCAAGGAGTAAATGTTATTCTACTAGTTAAATTTGCTACGCACCTTTTTTTAGCAGGGCCTGGGATCTGAAAAACAGAATGTACTGTCATAGTGTTTTGATAGACATGGCCAGTTTAACCCAAGGGTTCGACAGCATAATGTGGGCTCCGTGGCAGGGTGGAAGGAGGTGGAGGAACCGAGCTAAAACGTACCACATGTATTTTCCGAAAGCTGCTCAACACAGTCCAAATGGCTCTACGTGGTTTAACGCCATTTAATTCCATGACCTCTAAATCCTCAAAGAGAATTATCACATTATAGCATTCCAACACGCCCAATTTCCCAAAATACAGCTCAAGGCTTTTCCACTCTGACTCTGCTTAGTGTTGTGGTTTTGGGAAAACACTTCAATCGTGCCCGCTGCATTTGTTGTTGTTGTTTACTTCAGGTATTTATATATATTTTTCCTCTTTCTACTCTCTTTTCTTTGCCATTTTGCCTCTAACTCTATCCGGCTATTTGTCTTTTCTACTGAGAGATGCAAAATACTGTAACATTAACCCAAAAAGAGAAAATGACCAACTTCTGAGTTTGATGCAAGTCAGAGAAAGCTCAGCACCCACTAATGGTGTCATGCCCACTAGTGCATGAAGGCACAATTAAAGGAGTGACACAATTGTCTTCAGTGTATGAGCATGGCTAATCTACTATATTCCTTGTCCAAATGTTTGACTTAGTACAGTTTTAACTCGAAGATATACACATTTAAAAAAACGTTTTGGTAAATTCTGCCCTCACAAATCTCATCACGTCTGACTTTTTCCTGCAAACAACCGGCCTGTGACTGTCTGGTTGTGATTTAGTCAACATGGAAAACATTGGGAATGTATGAAAAGTTATGGTGTTCAGGTTGTGCTGAAGACCTTAACTGCTTTATCAGAACCATGTGGCGGCGCTCAGTGCCATGCCATAATGGCATGATTGAAAAGGAGAAAAAACTGTGGTCACAATCCACTCGATATGACTCAAGAGAGGGTCTCCAAAGTTCAGCACTGTCTCTTTCATAGCGAGTCCATTAACTGTTCCAATACCCACATCATGCAATGGGAATGATCTGATAGAGCCGGGGCTCTTTCTTCAGATTAATGCTGTCATGAATGGGCATGTATAACTGTGACCCTGCTACAGTTGCTGCTGTTTCTATGGTTTCAATTTATCCACTGTAAACATAGGAAAGGAGATTTGTCATATGAGGTCCTAAAGGAAAAAAAAAAACTTTTTACAGTATAAATAAACCTTTTAAATCATGGCTTTAGCCCATATTTTTTTCCTTTAATACTTGCGCTAATTGAGACTCAAATGGTAGCGCAAGCGACAGCGAGACAGCTAATTACCATCCTTTGTAATGAAGCAAATGGCAGACACTGTACCCTGAGCCACTGTTATGAGCAACACCCCGCTGTACCAGACATAAAAGCATACACAAATATCTAATTATGCCGTCATCTCTCCTCGCTTTCCTCTTGTGTTGCAGACGTTGCATTAATTGGTGGCCCGCACTATTGGTCAGCTTACAATCACTCTGATGATGTGGACAATTAGAGCCGGGAGGTACTCATGGCTCATCAAGTCTGTGATAGTTGACACATTACGTCTCATCTAACTCAAAACAAATGTTATGGAAATGCTGCTGCGGCAGTCCAGGGCCCAGACACGGGATATGTCCTGGCAAAAATATCTTCAATGTGTAGACTCTGATAAAAAGGAACTGCTGAAAGTAAGATAGTAAGTACTGTATGTTCAAGCACACACAATACAGTAAGGTAGACATGTATTTATCAAAGCTGTAACATTTCAGTTTGCATAGGGAATAAATAATCATATACAGCAGTTTCAAAGACACAAAGACAGAAAAACACACACATCATGTCAGCTAGAATCAGTGATTATCTCTAGTTTCATCTAAGGCTGTGGCGACAAAGGCAAACATTTATTTTTTACTGACAAGCTATGTAAATAAAATCTCATGAAGTGACTTTATCCTGCCAAAAAGCATTGCAGAGGTCCTTAGTTTCCTTTTATATAAAGTGGATGAACAGTGTTTTCATTCCACTTTTCTCTATCTACCAAACATGCCAGACTGAGGTTAAATTATTTCAATGTTTTGCTTTCCCGCTTGCCACTTGTATCAAGAATCAAGAACAAAGCATAGCATGAACTGACACTAAAATAGTACACTATCTTAGCTGATTGTCTCAAACAATAATTTTTTTGTTTTCCTCGTGCACTTTTAAACTCGACAGACTCACATGCTTCTGATTTGTCATTTGATGCCTTTGCTCTTGCTACTCTGGATCCATGTGTGTACCTCCCGGGCTCACTGTCAGAGCCCCAGAGACCTTGAAACGACAAAGATTAGCTGATCCAAAGAGTAAATATTTCATGACCTTACAATTACATGAAATCAAATCTAGGCAAAAGCCGTTCATTTATATTGCATTATCAAAGGGGTGGAAGACGGAGGGGAAAGGGGTGAAGTGGGTATATCTATGAACCTCCGAACTCTAATTAGTCTGTGTGGCCCAAAACAAGAGAGCAAGGAATAAGTGCACGGGCTAGGGATAATTAAGCGATTGTGAGCGGCATGTACGTGGGCTGTCACTCCAATCGGCAGCCATGTCACACTTGGTAACACAACCGCGACCGGACAGCCGGCCGTCGTCTTTGATCTGGGCTCATGCATACGGAATCAGGTCAGGCTGTGGTCACACACAGTTACACACTCACACACACACTCACTCAGAGATAACACACACACACATATACACTTTAAAGCGATAGTAGAGAGAGCCTCTTTACAAAGGGCCACAGTGTTAGGACCTTTGTAAAGAGAGACTGACAGTCAAGTATGCACAAGAAAAAAAGGAAGGATAAAGGAAAATAATGGAAAAGGGAAGAAGGGGATGAATGTGACAAATCCACTCAAGACTTCAGAGGGACTACTTTTTTAAACGGGGTTTACACACAAAAAACAGAGCTTAACTTACAGCTTCCGACTTGGGTTTGACCACTTTCATGAATGCTCCTCTTGACTGCGCCTCCATCACCTCTTTTATGGTTACTTTCCTGGTATCCAGGAACTTCAGCTGGGGTAACTTGTGCAGAACAAAGTATCTGTGAGAAAACAACAATTCAACTTAAAACTCTACCGTACAGCTGCCATAAAAGGTCTCCTTGTTGGCCTGTTCTTGACAATGACACAAACAGAGAATCTGAGGAAGTGTGTAAACCGTGACACACTAATCAAACTGACACACATTCTAATATGTAAATGCACGCATCAACAAAACTTGAAAAGAAGCCATGTTTACTGAGATTTAATGGTGGTGCTGATTTAATGGTGATATTTTCTTGTATGTAATAACCTTCAAAGCTGATAAGAATAAGTACGACATATAAATAGCACGAAAGGAGATACAACCCGTCTGCCAGAGCTGTCATTCTGGCAGCATCACAGATATCTCTCTAAGCTTTCAGACACACTCTGTCTTTCATTGGGAGGGAGAGAAACGTCAAAAGATAATGGTTGGAATACATAGATGACAACAGATCCTTTCACAGGCAGGCAGGGATAGAGGAACCAGTATGTCAGGGCTGAGCTAGTAGCCAAAAAGGACATGCATGCAGCACCTAAGTGGAGGGTGAGAAAGGACGGGGGATATGGGCACAGAAAAGACCTGTGCGCAAAGAGCCGTGACAAATTGATGATGGCGATGGCGATGAGGGGAGATGGCAAAGCCCGTGTCAAGTTTTCATCACCTGAGGATTATAAGGAGGGGATGCTGGGAGAACGTTTAGACTGACACGGAACAGAAAATATCTCTGTGCAAATTTAAGAATGATCTGATAAAGAGTGCTTATCTACAACAAAATGATTAAACGCTATGACATGGCTCTGAATGTATTCGTATAGGAATATTATTACAAGGTAAAATGACCTGCTCCTAACCCCTTATACGAGAATCTTTTCATATGAGAGCAGTAGCACTCAAATACAAGAGGCCCAAATCGCATGCTGTGTCTTCCTGCCTGTAAAAGGACTTTGTTCAGGGCATGTCCATGATGAAATGTGAAGATGCCCTTGGGAGACATGCAGGGAGGTTATTCTCCATAGGTAACCTACCATCACAGGGTCAGAGCAGATGACAAGGCTCTGTCAGCCAGTAGGGATATTAATGATTCAACCCAACCAAAGAGGGAGGATAAGAGAGCACAGGGGGGTAGGGGGAGGAGAGATGCCTGGAAAAAAACTCAGACTCATACCCTTTATTTAGCCATTTTCGAAATATGTGATAATAATATGATATGTGCTGTTTGGAAGCGGTTGTGTTAAAGTCAACTAAATGATGCTAATTGATAATACTTTTTTTAATAATTGAATTGATATGGAAAATGATCAGGTACCCAATTATATATTTTTTAAATGTTTTATTAATTTAATTTGTAATGGAAAATGTAATGTATTTATTTGAGTATTTGTATTGAATAGTTAGTTTCTCAGTTTTCTACTGTAATTTTGCCTGTAAATGCTAAATACAATGACATGTTTTTTCTTAAAGATTGTAATTCTGGTTATGGTTTAACTAATAGTTCATTAGAAAGGAAGACACTAGGAAACAATGGAACCTGCTAAGAAAATCAAGTCATTATACTTAACATCTATGAAAGAAAAGAAAAAGTAAAAAAATAATAGTTATAGCCTTTTTAAATAACAATACTGCAGCTGCATTTAAAGCATTTAGAAAAGAAGGTTGAGTGAGCACAAAGTGCAGCTGCTGGTGAGGCGCCGCAGGGAAAAACTCTTTGATCTGCCACAAAAGGAAATTGAACAAACTGATAATTTTCCTCAAGATAAGAGGTTAAAATGTCACATTAAAATATGTTAATCTTTAAACATCACAGAAACAGAGAGAATGAGATGAGACGTTTTGTGAGGAGACAGCTTCCTGTTAGCACAATGCCACATAATCAGTAACCATTGTGGTATAATATAATATAACAGCCTTAAACTCATGTGTTATTGTAGTACTGTAAATGGCCACTGATCGTACGCATGATCGGCTCAGAACAGGACAACATTTAACCTCGGCGCACACTACACAATACTGTGTGAGCGAATACTCTGTTTCTATGTCATTGCACTAATTGGGGCACCGATGCAACGCACCAGGGTATTTCACTTGGGAGACCAAAAGCTCCCGAGGCATTGGGCTGGGTATTTATTGCCCAAGGCCAGTGCTGTCACGACCTGCATACAGCCTAACCTTGTCAGACATGAAATCTGCATCACGCTCAAATTGATGTTTTACTATGTGACACATTATGAATATTACATTACAGGACCCTAGACGTTGTCAGTCAAAACAGAACAGCTTTCCTCACCAGCAAGATAAGCATGCGAGGAGAGGGGAATGGGGGAGGAGGGGAGGCGAAAGTGAGAGAGGGGGCTGGGGGGGAAAAAGGTAGACAAAAAGAGAGAAGAAAGATTATTCAAGAAAGGCATGGGTGGTAAATGATTAATAAGCATCGCAGAGTCAGAAACAAGCACTTAGGGCTAAAACAGACAAAAGAGAGTATGCTTTTCGCCTTTTATCGCATTTCATGTAAAGGACCCTGACAAATGGTGGTCATATTGCATGGCTTGAGGCCTCGCTTGATGTTTAATGCATCATCTGCTCCGGTAAGGCAGGGTAGTAAACACTCATTTGTGGTGGTGACTAGTCACACATGAAATCCATTTTGCAAAATGCAGTGTAGAGGGGCCAGTTGACAAAGCTTTTAGAGTGATGTGGTTAAATCCACAGTCTGCCTGTGAAATGTAGGGGGCTGGATGTTCAAAAAAGGAACATCTCCAAATCCATTACTTACAAAAAGCTATCACTCTGAATAGCTTAGCATCAAAACTGTCTGACTGAAAGTATAAACACACAGACACGGAACGTTATCTATCCATCTATCTAAACGGGTCACAGTAGTTTATTTTTCACATGTATGTGTTACATCAGCACAGTGGATGTTGTTACTGACCTGTATCTCTGGTAGTCGTCCTCATCCTTATCCGGGCTGACCAGCTGGTTGGGGCAGGCCTCATTTCCCAGCAGGCTTAGGTACTTCAGTGACGGGGTCACATCAGCCAAGTGTTCCAGCAGGGCCTCGATATCAGTCAGGTGTCAAAGGGCGGATGTCAAGGACCTAGCACTGTTAATTACATTAGCATTTACTACCCGCACCGCCCCTCCCGGGCCTGTCTGCACTAAAACACGTCACTGTCAAATGTACCGAGGTGCTCAAAGGGGCTAGTCACTGGCTTTGTGAGACTGGGCAGACAGAGGGGCAATTTAAGGTGCAGGCTTTGGCATATAGTAGTGACACAATTTGGCTGCTGCTCTCTCTCCCTTTCTCTCGATCTCTTTCATTTCCTAGGTGGCCGGGTGCAGAACAGTGACAAAATGATGGATGCCCTGTGGTTCAAACAGTCCGTGCTTCCCAGAGCCTTGCTGTGGAAAACTTTTGCGAAACGTGGAAAAAACAAACAGCCCCTAAGCAGGCACATTCATCACTAATACATTCACTTGGAAAATTGAGCCCCAAAGTGTCAAAATACAACTGCACTAATGCAGTGCTCGAGCTTTAAAATGGCACTGTGCCACGACAGGATGTACATAATTGGCCTATTAGCATGTGCCGACCACTTCACAACCAAACTCAGCACACAGTCCCAGACGCACACTTCAAGGAGCCCCAGTTTTAATGTTGACTCTGGAAGTGTGTGTGTGTGTGTAGTGTGCGGGAGTGAACATCGTTACCCAGTAGGATCTGCATAACCAGAGGAAAACAGGACACATTGCTAAACCTGTTCTGAAGCGTAGAGGGGAAGTTCACACATTTTTGACTGATCATAAACAGCCTCGCATGTCTTGAATTTAGGGTGGCTGTGCCGAGCTCTGGTTTATAGTGTTCGCTTTGGGTGGGAGGTAGAACACACAGCACCGTTGTAATCAATGAGCCTGAATGTGAAAATGTGCATTTAGTTACATATTAAATAACTTATTCATTTTTATTTTAGCGAGGTAACGCATTGTATAAAGAATGAAGCAACTGATGAAAATGTAAAAAATAAAATCCTTACTTGATTCACTATAATTTATAATAACTGATATTACCAAACAAACAAATCACACAACATTGTGTGTCATTTTTTTAATGTAGTTTTAATCTAACACTTGATCTTCTTTCAAAATAAAACACATCTGTTATGTTGACTCTAAAATCTGATTCCACTAGAGGTCCCTGTGGTTCAAAAACTCGTCCTGTGTGGAGCTCGGTGACAGCGAGTTCCTCTACTCTCTTTTGCAACACACAGTGCTCCCTGCAAAAGCACAACATGAAAAAACTGGTTCTCTGAGACAAAGGCGGGCTGTATTGACATATGAATGTTAACAAAACACACTATTGATTTTGATACTGATCCCTGTGATATATGCCTGCATAGTCGGCTGCAAATCAAAATGAGAAATGGACTAAGTGATTAGTTTGAAAGGATATTTGGTTCTTATTGAGTGTAAGGGTGTGGAGGTTGGGTAACCTGGGCAACAGGAGGTCATTTCCAAGCAGATTGTTGTCAACGATCAGCTCTTCCAGCTCGATGAACGTTTCAAGGCCTGCCAGTGACCTGCAATGATAAGGCAACAAGGACAACTGTTATGGCTCTAAATCTGGTCAGCCGTTATTGTGCAGAAATAAATACGCCGGGAAAGTATGGGTCTGGGCCTGTCAGGGAAGTGAATGACAAGAATTAGTGGTGCTGAGCTCCCCTGGCATGGTGAGGCATCCTTCAGCAGCTGGCAGGATGAGGGATGGGGGTCACTTGTGAGTAGCCAGGATTCAAAACAAAAGGCTTCAGAAATGCGGCGGGCAGGATGAATTTGTCAATGTCTTGTGCCTTGAGGCGCCCAGTTTCGCCTGACCCTAACCCTCCATTCCCAAGACAAATCACTCTGTCACAGTTCACCTTCACTCCCCAGACACAAATTTAACTTGTCATCCATCATTTTCACAGAGGAACCGGAATACACATGCAATCACAGATGGAATGGAAGGGAAACTTTTTTGCAACTCTACCGCGATAGTGTTGGAATTTTAAGATCAAAGGATGTTTTTTTAAGGAAGAATTTTGCCTTTCTGCTTATTTTTTATGACAAATTGCAACAAGGGCTGTAGGGTCATCTCAACTGTTTCCCTCTCTTTCTCTCTCTCACACATACACATTCACACAGGCATAGAAATGATGGAGGGTGGTGTTAGGAGTAATGTTAGGGCCCTGCAAAGTTCAAGTCATGGAAGGTACACAAAAGCAATGTGTGTGTTGTCTAATCTTTCACACTGTCAGAATGCCATGGTAAAGGGTCCTGGGTGACTTCATTGACATTTCAATCTGCCAAAACTTGATACATACTGAACATATACTTCAAGAATTATTCCGCACAGTTCACACAACAGGTATTTTTAATATTACACAACATTTTTAATTATTTCATACTTTCCATATAGTCAATATTTACTCCAAGCTACATTTCAAAATGCTACATTATAAGTATAGTATGTTTATAGTTTTAAAAAGCAGACATATCTTGGACATTAGGTTACGTCAATATAAATTCCAGTCAACAGGGTCACATTGCAATATGACAAACTCAAGGTACTGTGAGGTCTTAACATGTGCAGCATGACATATTACTCCTCTATGGATCTGACTTGTGTGAACAGCTGCCTTAATACACATCAACTTTAAGATACGTCAACATAACAACTTTATCACGACAATCTGCAAATGAATAGCAAGGAGCAGTTAAGTGCGGATGGGGATGGCGTAATTTACAGTCACAATTATAATGGAAACATAACATTATGCTGCCAAATTAAGGAAACAGATGATGAGTAATTGTGATATAATGTAGTGTACAAAAATACACCTTGATCTATTACGTTGTCAAACTTATTTGTCAGTGACGAGCATTTATTCCACACTTTTAGATAGCCAGACAAACTGTTTTCACGCTCCATCTGCTGTTACTTGTGTGCTTTCTCAACCTGTACTCCACCTAGACTTCGACCCTTCCCTAAAAACACAGATTGATGCACGGAGTGGACACACTGGCAACAACTTTGAACTACAAAGCAAAATGTTGCAGCTTTTGTAGCAGTGTAGAAAACGACAAATAAGCAATTTACTGTGGATGGGGAACGAGGCAGAGTGAGCTGCCTCGTTTTAGAAGACATCAACATTTTGCAAACAAGCACACTTGATATCAACCACAACCGTTGACAGCACCTAGCCAGTGTGCTGGCAAAGCCACTAGCTGACAACCTCTTATCAGGTCTGATTAATGCGCTGGCAAAATGGATGAACAGAGAGATGTGCAAGTTTTATGAAATCCTACTCTGTGTGCCTGTTTTTTCCCCATGTTGCCTCTCAGTTATAAAAGGCAAGCAGGCCCATTAGGCAGGGAAAGCTATACTTAAAACTAAAGAATATTCATTATAGTTTTTGTCTTTTTAGTTATTCTTTGGTTATTATACTTTTGTTTGTCTTGGATTTAAAAATAAATGCTAAATAAATTAATGAACAATCTATAATTGTTAGTATCATCTTATGCTACTATACTTCTTCTGTTTTTTGACAGGGCTGTTTTCTCAAACTAGCTATTTAAAAAACAAACTTTATTTTTCAGCACAGTGATTGCTTTTGCATTGATAGGGAATTCGGTACAACATCCAATTAATCTCCAAATATAATCTATGGCAATCTGTAGTTGGGCACAAACATTATTGCATGTTCTGTTAACAGAGATTGCTAACTAACTATTGCCACCTGTGTGTGTGTGTGTGTGTGTGTGTGTGTGTGTGTGTGTGTGTGTGTGTGTGTGTGTGTGTGTGTGTGTGTGTGTGTGTGTGTGTGTGTGTGTGTGTGTGTGTGTGTGTGTGTGTGTGTGTGTGTGTACAAGGGGCTGCAGTCCTGTGGGTTATGTTATTAGCTGCTCGGTTAAAGGGAGCCGCATGGCACAGGAGGGAGCCTTATTAATTGTTGTTTTCATGTCACCACTGCTGCGTGCACTGGCTGATTTAATCAGTTAAATTCACAGCCAGGGGAGAGCCACTGATTCCCATCCAGCATTAACTACAGTGCAGGGATTGAACTTCTAATACTCTGCAGCTTTCTGTGCTCCCTCTGCAGATTTCCTTAGCTGGTTTCATTACTTTTTATAAGCGTTCTTGTTTTAATGTGTAGGCTTGGAAAACTAACAAAGTTTAAGCACTTCAGTAAACGTACTTTACTTAAAAAAAAAAAAGGAAAAAAAGCTGCTTATGCTTTTAACAAAACTAATGGACATAATTTACTTGAGGCCAAATTCTGTAGAGATTTGATAAATGGCAAACAGGCTAAACCTACACAAAACACGCACATATTGTATGTTTTTATAATGGTAGCTTAATTTGTTGTTATTCACCTAAAGAAAATAGGGAAACTATTCAGTAATATATCTTAAACTCCACTGCGATACTACTGATGTTACAAACATCTGGTTATGTTCCTTTATTAAACTGGAAGTCATTTATGTTTTATTATGAGCATTATATTTTTAACTAAACAAATAGACAGAATCGTACAAATACTATATGAAAAATAATTGACCCTCTGCTCAAATTGCATCACCGTATTGCACACATTTAGAAAATAATCATCTCTCATGTCGTGTGATCAAATGCATTTTTCTTAACCCTCTAACCAGAAATAGAGAGACAGAGACAGGCGGTAGCTTTAACGAGGTGAGGCGATGAATCCTCTCCTTGTTAAGATAATTATTGTCAGAGCTAATACTTCACACGTCTTTACGCTTTGACTACCACTTAGCCTGTGTAAGCTCAACATCATACATCATACGGCCCTGTGTGCATCACTGTGTGCTTTTGAGCTTACATAAGTAGTGCATGTATGTGTTAAAATCTCCATTCTCTGCTAAGATCATGTCTACTGAGCACACACAGTACATGTACCAATATTTAGCTGGAGCAGAAACTCGGCACAGGAAGCCGGGAAGGATGTGAGACAGCAGACAAGGACACTGGAGAGGAGACACTGACCCAGAGAGCAGCCAGATCAATACACTAATACTAATGCAGACATCGTGATTGATGAACCACTGCGGACAACAGAGGGAAGAAAACTCTCGACTATTATTGGCTGAAATGTCAGTCACTCCTGCCAATGGTTTGCGCTAGTGTCATGTCATATATCCTCAGGCAGCAGATGAATAATGGAGAACGGCAGCCTTGGCTCTTTTACATGTGTCACAAAGTCTCTCCCATCCTATGTCTGCTGCTTTTGAAACTGTTGCTTAAATGAATTATAGTTGGTCATTTCTGGAAACTCTGAATAACAAAGGTCAAATGGAGTTTGTCTTGGGCGTACATAACCGAGCTTTAATGTAAAACAACCTCAAAGTTTACCCCTTTACTAAAATGTTGATATAGATCACAGAGGAAACAGCCTTTCATCTAGCACTGCGATACTAAAAAGTTACTGAGTCCAATGTACTTAGGAAAAAACACAAACACTTTTAAAAGACGAAGATCCCTTGCAGCTGCAGTCCACAGTTAAAGGCTGATGTTCTCTAAAGGGTCGCAGCGGTGCAGAAAAGCAATGCACTGTTATTCTAAACTGGGGGCCAGAGCTACAGAATGACAGGCATAATGACGTCCTGTTCAGAAGGCAACAGATAAATGTTTGATGAATTGACCAATACTGGAGCCATGATGGGCTTCATATGTGCATAATGGACTATTCAGAGCACCCTTCAGATTGCCTGCCAGGATAAGGTACTGTAATGAATGGGAATAGGAACTGGACCTGGGAAACACAGTATGTGGACTGCCTTTAATAAACTTAATAAGAAAGGTTGAATGGAGGAGGGCTGCTTAGAGAGAGAAGAGGAGGACAGTCAAGACATATTCTGATGGCTTTTACCATTCTGCACACTGCGAATCAGCTCTCAATCTTAATCAGTAACTCAGCAAATTGGCCATATACCCAAATTATTTTTCTCTTAAGACAACCAAGGTATTTATCTGACAGTTTCCAATAGGAATATACTAAACCTATTTGTTTTTGTAGTAGAATAAAGCGATCGTGAGTGTGGAAAATGCAGAATGATAGCACATATTCAGCTTTGTGTGACAGAAATTGAGGAAGAAATATATCCTATTACATCAGTAGGTCTTCATTAGTGTAACACGGCTGTACTTCATCACTCCAACCCACAACAAAAACACAAATACACATCCAAAAATACAGCATCAAAACACTATCAGGATTAGCTTGCGGTAAATAAGATGACATTATCTCTAACGCATATTAATGCCATGCAACCCCTCAAGTCCTCCAACATCCCTCCTACCACCTCCACACAGCACTGATCAGGTCTGTTCCAGCACTCTTGCCTGCAGCTACACTTTATGGCCTATACGCGCCTCTGTACATGCATCTCGATGGCGATGGTGAATTAGACTGTCATTATCTGTCTCTATCTCCCCCACAGCTCTCCCTTTCTCACCCTCACATGTAGACTGTCAGTGCTCAGTGTGGCACTCCTCTCTCTGTATTTCCAGGCCTCA